AATATTTCTATGTGAGATCAAGATAATTGTAATGGCATTTTGAAACTGCAATCTAAAGCAGAAACTAGTTTTTCCACATCAAATATATTTCTTAGTAAGAAGATCATTGAAATCATGTACATACCTTTTTCGTGCTGTTTTGAACGGAGCAAAATATTTCAGATATTTGCACATTGATAACAAAAAAGTATGTAATCCATTCTACCGAAATTTGCAGTAAACAAAGCAATAATTTATTTTATTATAAAGAACAGTCAGAACAGGAGATGAATATTACTTGATACAAGTAGTAGATATGGAGATATCAAATATATGGATACTAATATTAGTGGTCCGCAGTGACGCTCGCCAACACGACTCGTACCGAAATTTGTCTGAGCACCGAGTTTGCAAAATCAAAAAGGAAGGACGTCAGCCGTCACACTTGGCGGAATAAAATCGGTATTCCATCAATAAGAATAGAACAGTGACATTTGGGATGAATCATCAGATCTCATAGAATTCATACAAAATATAGGAACAAATAAAAGTAATAGCCTCCTGGCGACAACAACAATGTTTAACCACTGAAAATGTCAGAGAAATTAAACCAGTCGGGAATGAGAAAAGTGATTTTCATAACAACCAGAAAAATACTAACAACAACATACTAACAAAACGACCTATGGGTCAACTTCGTGTCCAAAAACATGTTTTTTGTATTTTGGAAAATGCATGTAAATCTCACCCATCCACAAGTTCCGAACCCATTTGTTCCAGTATTTTATCATCGTATTGATATCTTTTACACATCGTATTCAAACATGCAATGTTAAATGCAGTGTACAGAAATATTCGCTGAAAATATTATGTGCACCAGGTTAGAGTTCAGGTTGTGCGCAATCTTGGTGCATATATTTCGGGAGCGCCCACGAAACACTTTAAAGTTTAAACCATGTATGATTATATTCTCATACTTGAACGAGCACATCATTTGAGTTGCCGAGTGCTTCATTTATGTACAGCACTAACATGCATTGACACTTTGCATGCGGTTACGTAAACCACCCTTCGGCGGCGAGGACTCCAGCAATCCTCTCGCACTTACTTATCCCCCACGGGATTCAAACCTGCAAACCCACGCAGGGTAATCAGCGGTGCTGTGGCAAGCGTATTCGTAACGCTTATCACGATGCGTCACACCGCCGAAATCACAGGATCCAAATTTCAGTGCAGCAATATAACCAATGAGTCAATCGTCATTTTTTATCACAAATAAAAAAAAAACTAAATGGACAAAAATTCATGCATAAAAATTGTTAGATCAATCACCCATAATCTCTTGGATGACAGCGACCTGTAAAGAAAATTTAGAAATGATGTACATTAGATAACCGTCACTGTCGAAAATATAAATTGCGCTCGTTTCTGCAGACGTTTCGTTTTGAATCAGCGCTAGTCGTGTCCCCGTTTCAACTGGCGGGTATTGCTCAGAGTTAACGATGCATGCAGATACCACGAACATGATCCCTCCACATACAAGTTTCTCTCGTATTTCTTACTTCCCATATCTCTGTGTTTGTGTTGTGTCTGTTTGGTTGCCTATGTGTTTCCAAAGGTGCCATTACATTAGAACCCGTAATTTGAACCCACGACAATTGCACCTGCATACTATTGCACCTTTTTTACGGATGTTCGAACCCTACTAACTCTAACCCATGGGTTTTTGCACCCTCATATAAATTGAATCCGCGGATATACAGGTGCAAATGTACGTGGGTTGAAATGTACGGTCACCGTTTCTAAATTCCCACTGTCTTGTTTGCCTGAACCGCTCTTTTGTAATTTCTATCAATCATTCACTTTGCAAATAAATTTACGCAATCGATATATATATTTCATTACTGTTTACAGATAGAATACTGCCACGATTATACTCAGATCGCAGACAACTATTAGACTTAGCACAAGTCAAAATAGGCGAATCACGAGAGCTCGAGCTGCTTATTTATATATATTCTTGAACCGCGTTTGCCCATATATGATTTTAGATTCTAATACTCAAACCCCATATTAGTTATCTGGTGCTTTGTTAATATATCACACTAACATTCATTGATTCTTTGCAGGTTTGAACTTCATTCAGGTCAGAAATTCATGCATCAAAATTGTTAATCTAACTTTGTTAAATTTTGTACCAATACATTAGCAGCCATATCAGTAGAGTATTGTTTCTAGTAACCGAACTGATGCGAGTAGAATATATTATGGCTTTTAAAATAATTTGACATCCTGCTATACATTATTTTTTCAAGAATTTTGGAAAACGACTGAAGAAGACTAATATTTTTAAATGGAATACCATCGATTCGAAAACTTGTCTTGGGCTTCATTTCGCGTATATTGTTTTTTCAATTCTATTGCTGTTTGTAGTTGGCCTTGAAAACATGAATGGGAATTCTTGCTTCCAAAGATATAAAAGGTGGCTTTTCAGCTAGCTGATTGTGACATATTGTCAAGCAAGCTTCGTGCCACTTGGGAAAAGTGTTCATTGAATTTTTTTTTGTAATACTGCATTTGAGTCTAATCGAAGGGCAAAAATTGATTTTATGTTTACCTTTTTTCTCTTTTGGCCCATTTTTGTGGCACAAAAATTTTGTGGCCCATTAACTTTTCCATATCAGGCTAAGACTACAAGAAAAACAAATATTTCTCCCCGCAATATGGACACTTTCACTTTAATAAATATTAGAGCGAATATTTACCACTCCGCAGTAAAAAAAACAGCAACATCATTTATTGCCACTGGAATCAATCAACAACTCTTGTAATTTTCAATAGCTTTGTGGCCCACCTGAGGTTGTTTCTGTGGCCCAGCAGTGAGCCATGGCCCGCTGGTTGAAAACCGGTGAACTAGTTCATTAACTGTTTTCCACACTGCCTTGATGTTGCCGTTGTGATAGGCAAATTTAGGCCTATGATATTTAGGCTTCCCGCTGCTTGTCAGCAGGGAACCTATTGTATTCCTGTGTTTTATTATTATATTATTTATTATTATTTATTTATTATTATTATTATTTATTTATTTTTATTATTATTTTTTCAAATTGGTCCTACAAACTTGAAATTCACCTCAAATGTGCAGAAGTTCTCAGCTAGCAATAAAATGCAAATTTTATGCATGACTGACCACGCTTTCACGCTCCAGTGAGCAAAACGCGTCTTCAGTTTTTTTTGCGATTTCTCAAAATTGATACATGCTATTGGGTTGAAATTCATAACAATGATTAACCCTTTCCGTGCGGTGGGCACGTATACGTACCCACGACAAAACTCGCTAGATTGCGGCGGGTACGTTGATGTACTCCACTGTTTTATTTAGCAATCGGTCGCAAACTGTTGGTCTAGTTTTTCCGGGTTTTAGTTTATTGATAAAAAGTCTTCTTCGAGATTAACATAAGCGACGATAAATCTCGCTTTCGTTTACCATGGGAGTTTTATTTGCGGAGGAACGATGGAGTGTTTTTGAAATTTATGCAAATTTCGGTGTTTTTTGGGTAGTGATAGAAGACAAATTATCCCTTCCATCTACCAAAGTATTTTGAGTTAGATAACGAAATTGCTACAGCAATATTATGCATTGTTTGCCAACCAAGAAGCGGTAACAGTAAAGGATTTAGCAAATATTTCTATTTTTTATCACGGTTTGAAGTTTCAACACCCAAGAAAAAAAAATGCCTTTTTTCTATCCGGTTTGTGACTCAGACCACCCCTTTTAAAAAAAAAAATTTTTTTAATCGCCAATTGCAAGCTCTTTAAATAAGCTTTCCAACAAGCCGTCAGTGGGCAGCAGAGGATCATTACTTTTTCGTTAGTCGATCGATTAGTTGTGGGGGTACAAATGCATAAAGTCGGCGTAGCAAATACGATTATTTAATAAAAAATAAAAATCGCATGGAAAGGGTTAATGGACATGTTCCGGATACGATATGTCAAGAATACGCATGAGTGACCTTGGCGATACGCTCCAGTGAGCAATATAGGATTTTCATCTTCTTCTCGAGAACGACACTACTTAGAGACTTGAAATTTAAATCACATGCAGATAATAAGTCCCCCATCATAAATTGCAAATTTTATGCATGACCGACCACGCTTTCACGCTCCAGTGAGCAAAACGCGTCTTCAGTTTTTTTTACGCGGGAAGCCTGTTAAAGCTGCACGCAGCTCTAGTTTGATTTTGGAGTAGTCGAGCATAAAGATAACTGCATTCATTATGCTGCGATTCGCGCGTGTCATCTGTTTTTATTATTAGTTTCTCATAAAGCTTATGTTCGACTTTGTTGAGTTTACGTAACTCAATATCATACCAAGGTTTGTATATTCGGTTTGTTTGTTTCCTGTACGAAAAAGACTGAAAGTAAGCAACAGAGAACTTATCGAAGAATTTTTCAAAACATATATTGGAATCCTGGATGCTGCTGAAGTCATCTAAATCAATAGAATTTATTAATAAAAGTAGGCTATTCAAGTTGGACGAGATAAACTGTTGATGAAGTGTTTAATTCTATTTTGAATTTGCTTTTCTAAGTGAAAGCATTGTACAATTGGCAGATGATCAGAAAAACATTCTACTAAAACAGCGCTGTTTATTATTTTATTGTATACATATGTGGTTTATACTGGTAGCAAAAGTTGAAGTTATGCTGATGGGCCAGTTTATCAAAGAATAATAGACCAGGCTGTGCATAATATCAACAAAGAGGCTGTTACAGTATTAAAATTAGACTCATTTATTTATCTTTGACATGAATATACCTGGTGGCAATCATGCGCTAGTGCTTTTGCGAGTTGGCGCCTGTAAAATGGGTATGTGTTTCAAACCATCATTATGATTCATCGCATACAACAATCTGTGTGTTAAAAGTTCCGGTAGAGAATTTTAGCCTAGTCTATCACAGCTATTTCAACACTAATTTTTTAGTGCTGCAATTGAATTAAAACCCCTATGAAGACAGAGATAATTGGATTATCTGATTTATATTTAAGTTTCCGAAACACAACAGAAAACTAACGAATATATAGTTCAAAAACGCGAAAACGAGGTAATGTTACAAACTAAACGAGAGAACATTACAAACTAAAAAAATATATATATTTCTGTACATGGTTACAAAGTATACGCGAGACAGAAGTGGCAGATGCCTGTTCCACACAGTAAAACAAAAGAAAAATATACAAGTGCAATGCAGTGAGACGAATAAAAAAGAACATATGCCACAGTGCAAATAATCTATATGTGTAATTACAGTGTTTAAAATATTATAAGAATTACATTCAGTAAAAAATAAATTAAAATACAAGACATATGAAGTATATGTATATATATATTGAACAAAAGAAAGCAACAATAGATATTACAAGTTTTTACTCAAGTACGGTAAGACAAGTGGTAAAATGAATATGTGTTACTTGGGTCAATGAGCTATCATGTCTCAAAGACCTGATTGTTGATAAAAAAACAACCCAATTCTTTTTTACAATCCGAAAAAGATAAGTCAGTAGCACATCGGTTATCAAGGATGTCATGACTTTATCACATTGAAGAATTGCAATGATTCTCGAGTTCACTCCAAAATTGGTAGCACCACTAAACAATATTAATGTTCCACAATATCTTATCATACTCGGCTTAGTCAAAAGGAGATCCCTTTGGCCGCTGATAACCAAAAGGTACTGGTGTTTCGTTTGTAATTCTTCCGCTATTACTATGAGTTGGCGAGGTTGTTTGAAGAGAGAGATCATTGAAGTTTTGTTGCAATGCAAATGGACTTTGAGTTTCCTTTATTGCTAAATATGATTTACTGTTCTTCGCATCTCCAGTTAGAGCCATATCACGTAGTTCAGATAATTCGGCAAACGGTATATAAGCTTCGCCTGAAAAAGAATAAAGTCATTTCAGGTCAGAATATGCAACCCTTATAGTAAAACATTTCACGTTGTATGTTGGATATCTGATATTTCAAAAAATGTTCTCGTTTTTTGTGATTTGCTCCAGTAGTAGGGATAGGGAATCTAATCAGTGCAGTGGGTTGCATGAGTCTGACTTTCTAACAAGGCCTCCTAAGGCTTCTTGGAATATTTCAGAACCCAAAATTTCCTTGTTCAAATCGGATGTTTTATTCATTAGAATTAATTCAAGTGGTTCCAATAGCAAATGCACTAATACAATGAGTAGCTCAGTAACATTATTTTTAGAAGTTATAGGTTGGAAATATTACATATACGGTAGCTTCATTCGTTTGACAAAAGCATGTTAGAATCTGATTCTAACATGCTACTCAATGAGCCTACAGACTCAGTCATTTGAGTTTACTAAAATTTGAAGTACTAAGAAAAAACAAGAAAAAGTCATTCCATCTAATCCAAAAATTCTTGACTAGAAAGTATTCTAATATCACTAAGAATACAAACGAATGAAAATTGATACAAACCAATTGGCAGCCCATTTGCGACCCTTATATCTTCAGTTTCAAAGAAAGTTTGATGATCTTCCCAATGTCTATCACAAGCAGCACAGAGAAAGTTAGATTCAAACTGATGACATCTAACAAAAATATCAAAAAAAGTCAAAGATTAGAGCAAAAATTCAATATGAAAGTATAAATGTTTTAAGTAGGGATGTGGAGTCTGGAAAAGATACAATTGACTACACACTCAAGGTTGTAAACAAATTTGACCCTGGCCTCCAGACTGATAGGAACTTTGACTCTGACTGCAATGAAAACATGCCACCAAACTCTAGCTTGGCAAAAATAGTGTTGATCTCATTCTTGATTGGTGTTTTCAATATATGTGAAATTTTCGATACCTGAATATAATTCCACATCCTCCTCACTCATAGGAACAAATATTACTTTTATCAAAAAGAATTGATGAGCAATATTGTTACAAAAAAGGATTACAAAGATAATAGGATAAGCTTCACTATCATGAAATTGCGGGTACTATAGTTGAGAAATATCATTGATTTTGTGTAATAACTAAAATGTTCAATTTCGAGAAAAAAAAACAGCAAAATAATTCACTATGTATTGTAAAATTAGGAAATTCAAATAGTCGTTTGTACCAATGCTTAATAATCCATAATTGTCAAACCTTTGTATTCCAATTAAAACCTTATAAAATCTTACCTGCAACCCTTAAACTGACATCTTCGAACTCCAATTGGTGAGTGATTAGTATGAGAATGCTTACATCTAAAAATACATATAACCAACATATTTTACTTCATAAAGACCATGCCAAACATAATAAAACCCATTTGTTGAACAGATCCGAGTTCACTCACTATAACAACAATAACAAGTCTGTCAACTATAACAAGTCTGATAGGTTAAAAAATGTGCTACATTTTTAGTGTGGATGTGGGGCTATCATAATGTAGGTAAATATAATTTCTTTAATTAAACAAAATTGACAATTCATTTTGTATGACTACGGAATACAAATAAGCTTGTTTTAACGAAATTATCAATTGGGAATATTTGATAAATACACAAAGTTATGTTTAAGAAAACACTATGATTGATGCAAATTGAGTCATTGTTCTTCTATCATATCATTCTTTCATTTAAAAATAACGAAAACATAAATTGACTTTGTATAATAAGATCCTAATGCCTGAAAGACCAGCTAGACAAATAGTAATATCATTGTTAGCATAGGAAGAGATTCTCACATTTATTATTATTGTGGTTTCAAATATCTTATGAAAAATGAATGCACATATATCAATGAGCATCTAGATTAACCCAAAACATTAACCTGCATTTTGCTGTCCAAGTGCTAGGATCATATCCTGGTCTTTTTTTAAGCCAGAATTCACCAACATCTTCTGGTCTTGATGGAACAAATTCAAAACTTCTGCAGCGACAATCATGAATAGCACAAGATACTTGGGATTTTGTTCCTGATAAAATAAATACCAATGGTTTAAAACACAATCAATTGAACTCAAAAGCATAAGTGACATAGACAAACCCCGTCACATATGCTGACTGTTATGCAAAATGTTTGGTATTTTGAACAAGATGATTTTATTGAGAAGAACTGATTTATTTTTACATCCATTTTAATATAATTGTTAAGTAAATGGAATCTGTGGAATACAAAACATGCCACAAATCAAAATTCAATATGAATTATATTTGGAAGGCAAGGTATAACCCCTGTCAACAAATGAAAGCATTCTTTAACTAAAAAAACTTCCCACTAACCATTAAAATATCTGTGTTGATTCAACAAATGACCACAAAAGCATTTAGATTCTTCTCCAACTCTGATACAGTCCCAAGTGAACTCTGGGCATCTCCATCCAACATAATGCCCTAAGAAAAAGGAGTTATTACTTTTTTAGATTAGGCCTCGCTTTTAACTCTGATACTGATTCAAGCTGTTTGATATGTGAACAAAAAAGCACCTGTTTCCACAGCTCGTACAGCAGCAGCTACCTCAGGACTAAATGTTTCTTGAACACGTTTTCCAAAATTTTCTCGATGCATAGCTTTAGCTACTGAAATCAACTCTGCTTTTTCAGCAGGAACAATCGGCTTTGCAGTGTATCGAACACCTAAGATTATAACAATTTATAATTCAAAAAATACAGCACAAGGTCATCTTCAAATGAGGTTGAAAATTTACTTCTTCTATTTGCAGTTTAAGAAATTGATAATAACAAATTATGTGCTTCTCGTAAATAAAATAGGTGGTATTATCCTCATACCAGTAGATAAAAAAAAAAATTTCAAGCTTATTGCTTGCGTTTCATTCATTGGTATAAAATCTATTGAAGTGGGATAATGAACTAGTTTAAATTCAAATACCATTATATTTCAAATTTTTATTCGTGTCAAAGTGGACTGAGGAGTGATTAAAAACAAGCCAGTATTCAGTTTGTATGGGTGTAATGTAAGGAAATAAAGAAATATTTTACCTGACATTGGTGCTTTCAATTTCACACCTCCAAATCCTCCTCTTCCTGGTCTGAATCGGGATATACTTTTTGTTGATGCAGAATTATTGCGATCATTTTTAGAAACAATCTCATTCCCTCTGTAATAAGAGTAAGTATGGTGGATTTTAGATGTAAAGCATTGAGAATCATGAGAGTTCATTGATAAAAAGTGGGAGCAGTGGCCTAGCCTACTGGTTAAAGAGTTAGACTTCCTCTGAAATAAGAGTAAGTACGGTGGATTTCAGATGTAAAGCATTGAGAACCATGAGAGTTTATTGATAAAAAGTGGGAGCAGTGGCCTAGCCTACTGGTTAAAGAGTTAGACTTAACTATGATGGAAGGCATCACATGCTCAGCGTTTCACCCACTGTGTGACAATTTGGGTAGTCATAGTCAAGTTTGTTTTTTCCATTCAGTAAAAAATAACATACAAGATTGACAAAATACGAAATTGAACACACATTCTTACTGTGGAAGAGAAATCGCGAGGAACATGGATTGGTTATAGAGCAGGCACACCCAAGTTCAATATCTGATTAAATTTCTAAAGTCGGAAATTGAATTTTTAGAACACTTAAAATAGATGAGTATGGCTTCATCAGCTGAACCACTTATAGCATCCAGTAGACATGAAAGTTATGGGAGACGACCATAAATGCTACATGGCAAGGCATGCCATGGTCAGATGGTAGGCATGACAAACCAGTAATACAGAATACTGGTCCTTCCCAAACTTTAGTCGTTGATTATGCACAGAGCCTTGTTCAGAGCGGAAGATGTATAAATACATGGTATAAAAAACAATTCAACAAGGAAACTATTGCAACAAAATGTTTTGAGTAGACTATCAAGATTGTCTGATTAAAAAACTAACTTTGGTTGACTGTCTTGATTCAATGAAGGTCTTTTACTTCCATTTGTTTTGTTCATTCTCGAAATTGAATTACTACTAGAACTAGCCATACTGATAATATTAATAAATTTCTTCCAATTGTAAAACAACAAGCTATCAACAGTGGTACACTGATACAGACAATACAGACATAGACTACCATAAACAATGGATCATTGTTCAATGTTTACAGTATGGTGTCATGTTTCAGTGTTCCCAATTACTATAAAATTTACCTCTTGCCAACTAACGTTATACACTGGTGTAGCCAAATGCGCCGCGAAAAACTAGCAGATTGTTAAACATAACTAAAATATCATTGAATATGTAACATATTGCATTTACCAAAAATGTTTTATTGTTTCTTATTTTAAATGCTGTGTATATGTCAGTGAATTCATTTTGCCTTCCCCTACTTTCTATGGACCTTTCCCCGAGCATCGACTTCCTTGTTTACTTCGTGACATTGGCCAATCAGCAAGATGCAAAATGTGACGTAACAAAGCTCCCCTTTCGCATCCGCTCAGACACCTTCCCCACTCAGAAAGATTTTCAAGCGTGGTCATAAACATTACCTCGTTTTTGCTTTTTTTGGACTCTATTTGTTAGTTTTCAGTTGTGTTTCGGAAACACAAATATAAATCAGATAATTCAATGGACACTTTGTTTCCCTAGGAGTTTTAATTCAATTGCAGTAATAAAAAATTAGTGTAGAAATAGCTGTGATAGACTAGGCTAAAATCCTTTACCAGTACGTTTAAAAAACGAATTGTTGTATGCGATGAATCCTAATGATGATTTGAAACACATACCCTATTTTACAGGCGTCTCGCAAAGGCACTCATGAAATAGCTCCGAAAATTTTCCAATGGTGAAGTATAGGAAGAATTTTCCGGGGGTCAAAGGGCGGGGAAAGGGTTGCAATTTCACGAGCTGCAGTTTATTTATCTGCTAAATCGAGTTTAGCGCGAACATGAGTTCTTTTGAAGCAAGCAGTAGAGTCGTATATTTCACAAAAAAATATTCCTGCTTGTCCGAGAATGCCAGTTCAATAAATAGCGTCAATTTCAAAATCGCCATTCAGATATGTGAAATTGTTGACGCGACTCAGACAGAAAATCAATAACATTAACTCCTTTATTAGACACGTCAGTGTCACAAGGTGTCACTATGGAGTAAGAGCGCTGTTTTGGGGATCTCCTCACTTTCGATCAATAAGTCTTCGGTCTCTGACCGATATTCTCGTTATTAGTATTATTCTTCTCTTTCGTCAGGATGAAATCGCGTTTCTCTTCGAATACTGAACCAATTGCTTTGAAATTTTCAGTGGCTGAAGATTGATTTATTTGCCAGAAGGCTATTACTTTTATACTTATTTCAAAAATTTCTGTGGACTTCAAGAGATTCGTTTTTTTTTTTTTGTGACAGAATAAAAAATAGCGACCACTTGCGACGTGTCCATATATTTAAGAACAGCTCTCTTGTAATGACTTATTATTGGTTCAGCATGTATTTTCAATCATACACACTATCCTGGCGCTGTGTTGTTTTGATAATATGATCTCGACTGCAACATACTTGGCAGTGGTATCGAGATTTTTTAAACGTGAAAAAAACGTAAAATTAATGGTAATTTTAACGCGTAACGGCGCGCATTAGATTGTTTACGTCTTTCTACACGCATTTCCGTCGTAAAAAGTAAGTCTTTGTTTATATATTCATACTGCAAGGCTTCGGCCTAGGCCGGCACCTTACACGTACAGGTCAACCAACACTGCAACTGCTATTACGAACCAAAAAATAGTAGACAGTCATGCTGATGAAATCAAGGATACCGATAGCCAACCGTATGTCATTAGGGAACATTTCGCCATCGATACCATGTTGCATTTTGCAAGAGAATCTATTTGTGGATTATTTTGATAGACTAACTATGGGTAAACGCTGCACCTATGGTATTTGCCGGTCTGACAACCGGTACCCCTGCCGGACAAATGGAGTAGGATTTGTACGTTTTCCGAAACCACATATCGACCGTCAAAAAGCAATGAGGTGGATAAAAGCATGCAACAGGCCTAACAGTAAATTCAATCTGGGAAAAATCACCAGAAATACCTACGTGAGTACCAAGGTGGGCCAACATATATTACGCCTGATTACATGTCCATCAAAACCAGTCTAGCGAACCGGTTCGGTCAAAGTAGTCTCGGGGACCACTTAGCGCCCTCGATTACATGTCCGAACCAAGAAGATGAGAATAGTTTTAAAGTTGCCGGATTAGAGCAAATAAGTCATGGTTTGCAAACACTGCATGTATTTTATTTTCAATAAATTCAATATAATGTTAATTAAAGTATCAAAATTAAATGCACGTTCTTGATTTGAGTTATTTGAAGTTATTTGCAGAATATGATGAGGGATTGCGTTCCCGTTGAAATTTGCCCACAATCTAAGAACAAAACGACAAATTTATTTGGGGCATAAAAGATAGTCGGTTTAGATCATTTTGGTCGACCATCCCGCGTTAAACGTTGCAGACTACTGGCATCTTACACCACACGATCTATTAAAAAATTACGGTAGGCCTACAATCACCCGTAGTCTACTGGCAGACTGGCAACCAAATTAAAACAATTACATTTTATCAACCAAACACTTGTGTGAAGTGGGCTCATCATATGTAAACAGAAACACTTTCATTATTTAATATTGCTCCACTACTGCAACGTTACCCACACTGAAGCTTCGAATTTGTGCCGGTAGGTCTATGTGCAGTAATGGTACCGTACCGTACCGGTGCAGCTAGGATGAGGTATGGCTGTATGGTGCAATTCCAAAAGATTTATCAATGCAAACTAAAGTCGTACTGCGCTCAGTTTATACCAATAAATCTTTGGACATCAAGATTTAATTCTCTGTTTCAAAACAACAACTATCATGCCAATATGCCGCACCGGGATCCCACCAGTACCGGTATTTCAAATTTGTGTTCAACAGCGACACAATGGATGCGGAAGAAGTTTAAATTAAACTTGCCCCATCTAGCTAAATTTATATTAGTTTGAAAAATCAACTCACTTACCAGAGATGGAAAAGAAAACAACTTCCGTACCCCTTCGATTACGGCGATTCACGATTACTCGAGTAGCACGGCGAAGCAACTGAGCAAGACCGGTTGTCCGTGAATGGGATTGTAAAATGAATTCAATTCTATTATTTGGTTGTGCTCAAAAGCATGTAGGGCCTATCTGGTGTGTATTTTTGTCCTATACAATACAATATCTGAAAAACTATAATTTGTAGTAATTTTCTTGGATTTACTTGCTTGTTCCTTCATGATTTATTTTTTATAATCTGGTATATTCTATTTCTACATTCTACACTGCATATATATTGTAAAATCTATCAGATACATGGCTTAGGGCTTAGCAAGAAACTACAGACGACAAAACTGTTGGATCTATTTTGTTCCCTCTGGGTTGATGCTACTGCTGGAGAAGGCTTGTACAAGCTTGGCTCAGCAGAAAATATTTTATTTCCATCAATTTCATCTGTTGGATAGTCTTGGTTAGTCCAACGATATGTAAACAAGCACCAGTAGTTCTAATGAATATGTAACAATTTTTAAACTTTCTTTATCACTATAACATTATTGGTCTTGTAATTTTATGTTGTATGTAATTGTAATCGATCATAATACATCAATAAATCCAGTCTTTTAATAGTATATTTGCACCCATCTTACTGAGCTTATGAACCTGTATTTCTATCATAAACTTACGTGCCCTGACTCTGCCTTGCATGTACAAATTGAACTGATCTATTGCAGCCATGAGTTGCACTGAGAGCACCTGGCTTTGAACTCTAGCGTTGAACCGTAAATGTATGGTTGAACCAAGATTGACGACTATCAGTCGAACATATCTGAATGAAATACTCATCAGGTTATAATTACTGATTGCAGTAATTTGTGCAATGTTTTCAAAAATGTATTTCAAAATATTGCCTTTGCACTTCATTTTTTTTCCAAGCTAAATCCACCAATTCAGCCCTAACTTGCGAGTATGGACGTATATATGGATCCTGCCACAATCCTTCACCCCGAATACAACACACAAGTCATTATATAGTGACAAATAATATTAAATGAAAACAACAACAGACTCTCAAGACTCGGCGGTGTGGCACATCGTGCTAAGCTCTCTCTCTCGTTATGCTTGCCACTGCATCTCTGATTACCTTGCGTGGGTTCGCAGGTTCGAATCTCATTCGGGGATGATTATGTGCGAGAGGATTGCTGGACTCCTCGCCACTGTAAGGTGGTCCACGTAACCGCTGGTCGGTTATGGGCTTACGGATTTCTCCACCATCAAGTCCATGCTTCCGAAAATAAATAACTGGCCAACTAATCCCATACCCGACCTGGACTGGTAACCGGGCGAGAGGCCGTGGTTCGCCATACGACTAAGCCGTTTTATCGGCTTTCCTCTCCCGCGGGATAAATATGTAAATCATAGCCTATCCTATCCCTATCCATTAGTCTATGAACTACGGGATACCGGTAGGCACACACGTCTCCCTGTCCTATCACCACCCTCTGACATTCTTCGATCATAGAAGTTTAAATATCAACCCTCAGTGAGAAGTTTTGTATTCTTCTCCATCTGATGGAAAGCTTTTGGAACTAAATTAGGTACGGTAACGGCAATGTGGAGGCAGAATAACGTTAATATTAGATCACTTGACAATATGTTAAAACTTTAGTGGCACGAAAATACCGCCATCACTAGTGAAATACCATTTTAAGACCTTTAAAACGAGCAACGTACCACACTATCGCCAACCTAAATCAAAACAATAAAGGTCGCGGAGCAAAATTTTCGGGGCTATATTAAGAGTGCTTTTGCGAGTTGGCGCCTGTAAAATGGGGTATGTGTTTCAAACCATCATTATGATTCATCGCATACAACAATCTGTTTTTGGACACGTAGTGGACATAACGATCGTTTCAATATTATGTTGTTGTTGTTCTTGTTCTTGTTCTTGTTCTTTGACACGTTTTTAAAAAGTCGCTTTTCTCTTTGATTACTGGACTAATCGCTTTGAAATTTTCAGTGGTTAAAGATGAAATTTTTCTCCAGAAGGCTATTACTTTTATTTATTTCAAATATTTCTGTTAGCTCTGTAAGATTTGTTTTTGTTTGCTATGACGTCACTAAACGTTCTGCGGGTATCGGACGCCATTTTGTGTCCAACGGACCATCTTGCAATTTCAATTCACGCTGTCACAAGACAGGAGTTCTGGTACCGTAACACAGCGCGGTGACACTGAACTAACTCGT